ATAAAGCCTTGGTTATAGATTCTCTGAATTCACCCAACTGTGTACAAGGAGTATTTTTTATTCAAAAGGACTAGGGAGATGTGGGTTACTCAACAAGTGTTTCTGAAAATCGGCCAGATAGTCCCCTTCATTAGCTACTCTTTAATTTGGCCCTGATATAAAGAGACCTTGAATCCAGCACAACCCCTGACTGTCTACCGCCAGACCACAACTGATCTCTTTGGACTCAGGCCCTGTTGGAGCAGAGCAGGGGAGGCCACAGGGCACCTACACATCTTACAACAGCCTGCTTTGTAAGGCTAAACAAATATTTGCCTCCAACATGCAAAGCTGAGCTATGGGATGGGGCTTTTACACATATATTCCTGTGCACCTACATCTGTGCTGCTTGTACTACAGGCTGTGCCAACATCCCGGGCTGGGCTGAAAGAAAGGCAGGCAGGATGCAGGGGACAGGCCTGCATATTTAAGGAGCTCAATGTCCTCATACATCCTCTGGGGGCATTCAGAGCCCAAGCCAGCCATACAGAGCTGGAACTCAATCTTCCACAGAGAGGTGGAAGATTCCAGATGCTGTTGGAGCTTTACCCATAGGTAGGAATCATAGTTATGACTGCATCTTTGAACACCGGGTACAGGAGACATCCTGAAAGGTATATGACATGATAATCACAAGAAATATTTAACAATAAGCTAAGGTTTAAGCAAATTTAATGGGAAATTCAAGAGTAAAGGGAAAAGGACCTGAATTGAAATACCAGGTACTTGGCGAATCAGATCTGCCATCCATCATCCTTGAACTTGTGCAATTGGGTAAATCATCCAACTACTATCTCCTCAGGAATAAGATGGTAGTCTGCCAGTTTTGTTTTCCTCCCTTTTTATTGAAAATAGATTTTCTCATATATCCTGATAATGGTCTCCTCTCCTTCTACTCCTCCTAGTTCCTCCCTACCTCCCCTCCCATCCAAAGATACTCTATTTCTATCTCTCTTTAGAAAACAAACAGGCTATAATAATAAAATAAAACATAATAAGATAAGACAAAAACTAACAATGTCAGGGCAGGACAAAGCACACAAACAGAAGGAAAAGAGCCAAAGAAAAGGCACAAGAACTAGATACAGACAGAAATCTACACATTTTCACACTCAGGATTCCCATAAAAACACTAAATTGGAAGCCATAATATATACCCAAAGGACCTACAGGGTAAAAAGAGAGAAAAAATAAATAAAAATAAAAGCCCTGATAAGACATTATGAGGAACCTTCAAAGTTGCTGTTGAATTCATTTCCTGTTGGCCATCTACTTCTGGGAATACAGCTTCACTTTAAGGGTAGTTTGTTTATCCATTGAGACTCGCTTGAGAAAACTAAATTTTCGTTTTAAGGGGTTATCAATTGGAGATAGCTCTTGGGTTAGGCATGGGAGCATGTATCCAAATTTCTTCCCTACCCCCATCCTGCTCTCTTTCCTTCCATCTCTCCTCTCTCTCTTTGTGAGAAAGGTTCTTACTATCTAGCTCTGGCTGTCCTAGAACTCACTTTATAGACCACACTGGCCTCGAATTCACAGAGATCAGCCTGCCTCTGTCTCCTGAGTGCTGGCATTGAAGACATGTGCTCTGCAGTGCCCAGTGAAGCCCAAGGTCATCGAGGACCTTGATTTGGGTCCAGCATCTTCTCAGGAATCTGCAGGTTTTTAAAAGTAATTTTTAACTGACACAGTAATTGTTTATATTTAGGAGTTATATAATAAAATGTAATATATGGACACAATTTATAAGTATCCAGTCTGGGTGATAGACATATCTGTCACCTCAAACATAATTTCTTCATGTTAGAAACATTAGAATGTTTTCTACTAGTTATTCTAGAATAGACTATTAAATGCTGTCAGTCATAGCTAGCCTGGTGTGCTATACAACAGAGCTGTTCTTCTGTCTGGAGCCTTATTTTTTCTTCAACTTTCCACATATGCCATCTTTATTCACTTGAAGATTGCCACAGTAAACTGCCACAGAGGAAGAATCACCATGTCACAGTCTGAAAATTGGAAGTCAGAGATCAAGGTCTTTGAAGTTGTTTCTGCTAAGGGCTCTGAGGGGATGGGTGGTTTGTCCTGTGCCTTTTGCTCAACTCCGGGTGGTTTGCTGGCAATCTTGGGTGTTCCTTGGCTTGTAAAAGCATTGCCCTTGATTCTCACCTTCAATTTCACATGGTGCTCTACCTATGTGCATGTCTGTCCCTGCGTCCAAACTTTTTTATTGAGAACACTGTCATATTTGACTAAGGCTCACTCCAATGGTCTCATTGAGATCATCTATGAAAACATTATTTCAAAAATAAATTCATACTCACATGTGTAGGGGACTTTACAGCATCATTGTCTTTGGGATGCACACAATCAACACATAACACTGTGGGACCTCTGATTGTTATGACAGCTCCCTGGCAGGTACAGCATGGGTAGTCTATCTGTAGTCTATTGGGAGTCTATCTTACCTTCTTGTGTTGCTTTGTAGGAAGGCAGAAAATACAGGAGACCGATGGGATCTCTTCCTAATCACCCCATCCTACTGTGTGACACCAAACAAGTCACTTTACCTCTGTGAGCATCTAATTTTTGCTCTGCAAAATGGAGAAGTTTACTAAGAGTGAGCTAAACTAAAGTGAGCTAAACTAAAGTATTTGGCTGGCATATGGTATCAACAAATCATGATATTATTTATTCCCCTTACGTCCAGGAGAGTATGGATGCATGACTTCTAGCCCTCCCTCATTCTGGGAAAAACTGCTGGAAGCTCTGGTGTTCCAGTGTCCTGGAGATTCTGACTGGAAGGTTTGAAATAGGACCAAGGCACTGGTATTTTTAGAAGCCCCTGGGTTTATTTTAATGTGTAGCTAGATTTGAGAACTACCAGGATGGATGGCAGGAATGAAACCCTAATGAGTAGTTTTCTATGGTTGAAACTCAAAAGACGATGATTTATAGTTATGGAGCAGACAGCACACGCCTGATGGAGAAAGCTAGGGGCAGCTTTTGGAGCACCAGTGAATCAGGTGACCTAGTTTTCACAGCTGTTTCTTGCTTTTTCACATTTTTTCCAGGCCTTCTTGAGGTTGGAGCATCCCATTGAGACACTGTCCTGGGTTATCTTTCTTACCCATAGTTGAGCCTTCACCACTGATGTGTCCTCAGACAGGCTGTGGTCCTGCAGGATTGCCGTCCAGGTCTATGAGGGGATTCCCCGAGAGAATTCAAGCTGGACAGAAGTCTGATGTGCTGTCGACACCTGAATGATGTGTGTGTGCTCAAAGGAGCCTCCACGGAGGACAACTGAGACACAGCTAGCACACTGGTGAACTGGGGTGTCTGCCCAGGTGAGAAGGGCCTACTCTGACTAATCATGACACCCAACCCCCACTATGACCTACGGAGCTTATTTCATAGGAAAGTGCTATCCCTGTCCCCCAACACTTTCTTTGGATTCATGTGGGTTCTGGAGACAGTTGGTCAGGCAATGAGTGGCAAGATTGGCCAAGGTAGCATTTGCCAATTTGTCTAGTTCAGAGGCTACATTTAGTTCTTGAGCTCCTTTGCTGAAACAGGGTGCCTGTGGCAGCTTCTTCCTCACTTTCTCTGGCTGCTCAGTAGGCAACCCTGGTTTCTCTATAGAAAACTGTCTTGACTGTCTTCTATTGCTGCCCTAGAGCACCCAGATCAGACACTAGCCCACTTATCCCCTTGAAGAGTACAGGATCGCAACAAGCCTTGAGGGGGAGGACCAACAACCTTCTGATCAGTGAGTAATAGATGGAATGATCTATAAATAAAAGCAATTTTTAGCTGGGTGGTGGCAGCACAAGCCTTTCATCCCAGCACTCGGGAGGCAGAGGCAGGCAGATTTCTGTGAGTTCAAGGCCAGCCTGGTTTAAGAGAGAGTTCCAGCATAGGCAGAGCTGTTGCACAGAGAAACACTGTCTTAAAGAAAAAAGAAAAAGTAATTTTTAATGGCAACACTATCAATTCTCTAAATTTACTATCACAAAAGAGGTTAGAAGTGTGGTTTGTTCTTTGGTTTAATCAATACAAGCACAGACACTTTAAGAAATAGCAATTCTCTGGGTTTTGAGCCCTTAGAATAGTATATTTGTTGGGTGTTTTCCATCCTTCCTTGGTACTGCTCAGCAAAATTCCATAGGTAGAGAGCAGCTGGAGAGGAATGTCTCTTAACAAGGAAGTAGGCTGCATCTCCATCTAGCAAGAACTTAGATCATCTGGTGTTTAGCGTTGGCTTTTTAGACATGCAAAGGAGAAGAAAATCAAGTTTATTGTGGAGAAATATCTCAGCCAAAACTAGCCTTCACCTCTGAACTCAGACCAGTCTTTCCCAGTCAGCAGACTGCTGTCAACTGCTGGTATCTGGGAGGGAGAATGTGATGCTTGCAGTGGCCTAAAGTGGGAGAGAGCAGTCTGTAACTGTTGGGAGCGAGACCTCTCTCTGTTGACCTGAACGGCTTCCTGCTGTAACTGCAGGAACTGATACAGTGGAGCTGGATTTCCTGGCAAGCTCAAGGGTGGGTTTTTCCAAAAGTCATTTTAGACCACAAACGCACAGCCTTTCCACGTCTAATCATGAAAGCAAACCACTGGATGCACGGTCTCTGTTTCCAGCTGGTTGTGTACACTTTCTTCAGTCTTACACAAAAAAACATGCCAAGGTGTGACATTTATGAACCCCACCAACTGGACGCCGTGCGCACAGACTGTCTTGCCTGTGGTGCAGGAATGTGATGAATGGGGGCTGTTCTGTCTGGGAGGAGGGCTGCTGTCACTCTGGCATGACTGCAGCCTTATTTATTACACACCAAAAGTATAAAACCACCCAGCCGGCTGCAGCTCTCCTCTCCAGACCTGGCATTTGCCTGAGGCGACCACGGCACCTACAGCCCCCGACAGCTTCCCAGGGAGATTCTGTGGCTCTGTTGGGAGCCATGCTCAGGAGGCAGATCGTCTGGTGGCACCTGCTGGCTTTGCTTTTCCTCCCATTTTGCCTGTGTCAAGATGAATACATGGAGGTGAGCGGAAGAGCTAACAAAGCAGTGGCCAGGATAGTGCAGAGCCACCAGCAGACTGGCCGTAGCGGTTCCAGGAGGGAGAGAGTGAGAGAGCGGAGCCATGCTAAAACTGGGACTGTGGATAATAACACTTCTACAGACCTAAAACCCCTGAGACCAGATGAGCTTCCGCACCCTGAGGTAGAGGACCTAGCCCAGATCAACCCATTCTGGGGCCAGGTACTCTGAATTCTCTTCTAAGGATTTCTTTGCAAACCTACATGACTGTTGTTGCTGTTGTTTTAACTATGATTCTTAGGATCCGCGCTTGTAAGCAGTTTGCCGAACTGGTTGTGGGTGTCTCTGGGTTGTTCTGGGATCCAACAGGGACACCTAGTCATTGGCATGACGTGCTGCGACAGAGTGGCCATAGCACTGCCCCATCAGAACGGGCAGCAGAAGGAGTCTGCTTCTTTTTGTGTTGAGACTTGATTATTACTGTTATTGCTCTGTTGATGCTGAAAGAAGGGCTGACCCGTGTGGATCAATGCATTGCTGTAGATAATTATTTGCTGATTCCAAGAGAATTGGATTCTTTTAAATCCTCCCCAGCAGGGAGAAGCTGCCCTTTGCCTCTGCCAAAACCCACTTAAGCTTGCTTTACTTTGATTAGTGAATTTTCTGTAACATTTCCCTCTAGTGTTGTTTATTTGTTTTGTAGCAGTCTAGGTTGCTAAGCCTTCTTGTTTAGACATTTTTTAAAAAAAACAGATTAGCTCATTAAAAGGAAAGGAAACAAAAAAGATTACATATCTAAATTACAAGCTCTTGAATAACTCAGTCTCCTAATGACAGAGCTTGGTTTATTTGTTGGAGCAGAAGCTCAGTATCTGAAGACATTTTCCTTAAGTCTTTTAGGTGACAAAGGAGTCACTAAAGGTTTTTTGTGGTGCAGGGAATTGCAAACCAGCAAACTTCAATTTAATCGAAAGCAGCAGAAACAGGGAGAAAGTCATTTGTACTTAGAGCCTAATTATGACAAATGCTAGTTAGCTGGAGTGGAGAAAAGGGTACTGTGGATATGTGATCTTTGAAGCAGTGCTCATTACCACAAGAACCGTGGACTGGATGCTTTGTAGAGCCCCTGAGACTTCTCACATGGTTGTGACCTACACCTCCCCACTGCCCTGCCACAGAGTGAGAAGGTTCTGCAGTTAGACAAGGACCCACACAGACTCAGCAGCAGAACTGGGATATGCCTGAGACATGTAACTGAACCACACAGTGCAGTTTCCAAGTCGGTCTGTGGGGTTTTGCCAGGTTGGGGGTGTAAACAGAATGCCTCTTCAGAAACTGCCTTCTGTCTAAAGGTGTTTGCTTCAGTGATCTTCACCTAACTTTTTAACTAGCACCAACCAGGCCACTGAAATCCCAATTACAGTTTTGCTCCACTCCACATTCTAATCTTCTAGCCCTGGATTCCTGAAGCATCTTCAGATAAAGACCCACGTGGAGCTACCCAGGAGATTCAAAGCCAGTAGCATCTCAGAAGCTTTGGGTACCATTCCTCTACAAGTGGATACTGGTGCACAGACCAAATTTAGGGTCACAGTCTTCCTTCTCTCCCTACTTCCCCCATCCTCTTCTTTATACTAATTCTCCTTTCCCCCATCAATTCTGCCCCAAGCATTTCCCAGCTTTGACTTTTCCCAGGCTATAGGATGGGGACTGAGACCATAAACACACCCAAGCCTCTACTACCAACCTGCTCTGAAGTGCTCTATTAGGAAAAATATTGTCAATGTTTATTTGTTCATTCATTCATTTTTTTCAACCTTTTTATTTATTTTTAATTTTTTATTAAGTTTTAAAATGAGCATAAAAAGCAACAGGTTTCATTATGAGCATCACTGAACTTTACTCATATTCCATCAGTCTTTTTGTTAATTTCTTAACTAAGTTTGATTAAATTCTGTGCGGTAAACAAGGTCAACGTACAAGGAAAACTTGGAAAAAAAAAGAATAGTGTTGGTTACTGGCCTTAAAAAATTAGTGAAGAGAAGAGAGAAAAAGGTGGCTGTCCACAGCAGAGGACCAGTGAGCCCATTAGCAGCTGGGGAGTGGCTGGGTCCTTTGCAGTTAGAGGAGACTGCAGATGATCTGAGGGTCTGGAGCAAGGGGGAACTGAACTAGTGCAGGAGTTTAGGCTAAACTTTGCTCCTGAAAGCTCTGTCTGTGGTAGCAGGGCAGTGAGGTAGTAAGGTTTGTGGCTATAGTCCATGGTGGGTTGCAGCTGGGAGAGTTCTACATATCTATATTCTTTTCTGGCACTTTCTTTACCAAAGCCTCACTCCGCTTCCTTTTTTCCCTTCTCTCCCTACCTTCTTGTCTCTACAAGAAAAGAACTGTGGATTCTTTTTCTCTAGTCATTAATAGTAGAACTCAGTTTTGCAAAATGGGGAGAGCTTGTCTTACAGACACCCCTCTCCTCTTAACTGTTCAACTGCATGTTTCCAGTGTATAGCTACCTGATTTGGGAAGGAGGATGGTAAACTTAAGAGGCCATGGATAGAAACTTCCCATATGCAAAATCTTCCATGGTGAGAATAAAAAGTCTAAATCATATCCTGTCCAACTTCAGAGTCCATCAAAAGTCTCATGAGAGGGCTGGGGAAATGGCTCGGTCAGCCTGCTATGCAAGCATGGGACCCGAATTCACATTCCCAGCACTCACCTAAAAAGCCAGGTGTGGCTGTACACCTGTACACCTGAGACTGGCAGATCCCTGAAGTTCCTTGGCCAGCCTGCCTAGCTAGCACGGGCTTCTGGCTCAGTGACTCTATCTTGTGAAAAACTGGCGGAGGAAGAATACTAACACTCATCTCTGGTCCCCACACATGCACACTCATGAGCACACACTAGCAATATGCACAACATATTCTCTCTCTCCTCCTTCCCTTCCTCCCTCCCTCCCTCCCTACCCCTCTCTCTCCCTCCCTCCCTCCCTCCCTCCCTCCCTCCCTCCCTCTTTCTCTCTCTCCCTCTTTCCTTGACTCCTTGCTGCATTATCATTGTTCCTCTGAACTCCACCTTGAAAGACAAAGTCAGATGAAAGAACAAGTGGTGAAACATCATAGGAGGGTCCCTGGGAGGCAGCCAACTAGGAGAACCAAGACTCTGTTGCCCTGGTGGCAGCTCTGTGCTCCCTGAGTTACCCCAGACAGCTTGCACATGCATCACTCATGCTTTTTGGCTTGGGAACTAAGAAACACCACCTCCTTGTGTTCAGATACTAGACATTTAGAAATGGAAGTATCAGGGCTATCTCTTGCCTGAGCTGGCTCAACAGGTAGAGGCGCTTGTTGTCAAGCCTGATGAACTTAACCCACAAGTTTGTCCTCTGAGTGTCACATGTGTGTTACATATTACAAGAAAGAAATAAATCTAATAAATTTGTTTAAAATTTAAAAAGTTAAAGGTCTTTCAAAATTACTATTGAAAGTTAAACACAATAGTATCTTTGCTTGGAAAGGACCAACTCAGACTGATGTCTGGGAATGGTGACTTTCTAAGGCCCCATAGAACTGATCAGGGACACTGGTCCCAGTGCAGTGATTATTCTAGCAGTTTTAAGCATCTCAGTATTTCCATCTGTTCTTACACAACTCTTTCCCCCTTTCTCTATCCATGAAACCCATCATTGGCAAAGCTCTGGATTCCTGGGGCACAGAAGCTGTATTTCACATTAGCAAATCATCCCAGGAGATGAGGAACATACTTCTCAGATGTGCAGTAGGTGGGGTTGGCTGTGGGGCTTGATTTCCAAGTGTCTTCATTTCCAACCAAGTGTATTAGTTGATTTGTTTCCTTAGCTAATATTAATTTATACCTGTCTGTGATTGGTCTTGGCAGACTTAAAACTAAGAGATATCTCCAGCATATAGCTCTTGATCCCTCATCACTGGTTTCTGAGTGGTGGCAACAGAAGGCGTGGACCAGGGCAGGCTACTTAGTCCCTCAGTAGTTTTATGGAAAACTTTAGGGAAAAGGGAGGACGGTGACCAAGCCTGTAAGACCAACCAACAAAAGTATGGTGTAAATGTGTAGTAATGTGAACCCTTCATCCAGTTTTCTCCTTGGGGGATGTCTAGTGGCAGAGAAACCTGAAATGGTAAACTCTTCCCTCTTCTTTCTCTGCCTCGTGCCCCATCTTTGTCCTCTGTTCTGTCCACTCCAGTCCTCCCTCGTTTTCTTTTTTCACAATGAATCCCTTAGCAACAACGTCCTGTTTTCAAAACTGTTGAATTATAATTGGTGTCTAGGAAAGTTTCCACAAGTATTTTGCATGACACAATTAAAAGGCGAATTGCCAGTGCAGACAAGAATCCAGATTTTACATGTTCTGACTCTCCCAGCAGCCACTTCACCAGGTCTTCAGTTCATTCACAGCAAGAGTATACTTTAGAATTTTATTTTTGTATAAATAAGAATTTTTCTGGAAGCCACAGTTGAGCATACATAGTACCCATTTGTACTCATTAAATATTAGTTTGCACAGTAAGATAATCACTTTATGTTTAGAGGAGGAATGTGTAAAATGTTAAACACTTACAATGAAGTTAAAGTTGCTCAAGGTATAAATAATAAAAATCGATTGGATGAATACAGTTAACAGCAATGTACTGAAATCTTGAAAACTGCCAAGAGAGCAGACTTTGAATGTATTCATCACGGGAAAGCAAGTACGGTAATGCATATGCGAATGAACTAGCCATTCAACAAGGATGTGCAGGCACGTCTCCAAACAGCTGTTGTATATAACTATATTTCTACTTTTCAACTTACAAATAAATACATAAACGCACAGACTAGAGAATACTTTGTTTTCACAGCAATTTGTGTGCTTGAGAGGTTTGGGAAGGTGGAGTTACAGAGTTCTTGAGACCTCTAAGCCATTATTAGGAGTGTGGTGTTTAGTTGTTGTGCTGGAAGTTGTTGCTTGTTTGCTTTGAGGGATACTGTAGTCTAATTGTACCTGAGACTTCTGGGTAGTGTGTGTGAGAGAGAAGAGGCTTCCTTGTCCTCTTCTGAACGAGATTCTGCTTTTACTGTCATAGGCTTGCATGGGAAGATGCTGTCCAAGACAACCCCCCAACCCTCCCCATTGTCTGCACAGGCCCGCACTCACACCACCCCAAGGCACATCTGTGTAGAGCTCCTATTGCCTTTACCTTTGATCACCCACTGCCATAACTTCTTCCTAGCCCCAATTCCACACATATTCCCAATGTCCCACACTATTTTTTTCTTATGTGACTGTGACTTAAGTTAAACTTATCTAAGGGTGAAGGCCAGAGGGAGTGAAAAAGTTCATAGGTGCTCATAAATATCTTTACCTGAAGTTTCATTTTTCATCATTTTTAAGTCTCCACAAACGGGAGGACTGCCCCCAGACTGCAGCAAGTGTTGTCATGGAGATTATGGATTCCGTGGTTACCAAGGGCCCCCTGGGCCTCCAGGCCCTCCTGGCATTCCGGGTAAGGAAACACAGTTTGCACTGCAATTTCAACAATAGACTGTGTCAAAAAACAGATGTCAAGAGCAAATGCAAATACTTGAGGTTGACATATACTGAGTATGCATGGGAAATGCAAAGATAAAGAATCTGGCAGGGGAGTTGGGTTCATTAGGTCGGTTCAAGTGGAACACTACTCTATAGCATTTATTCTTTACACTACTCAGAATCCAAGATGCTTCAGATATGCATGCTGAGGCTCAAAGGAGGGGAGATTCTTCACTAGCCTGTGGATAGAGCTGCTTACTGAGAACTGAGACCCATCTTAGCATCTATATACTAGTCACCTTCTGCTACTATTGCAAATTCCTTATATAATCAAATTACATAGAGAAGAGGTTTATTTTGCTAATGGATCTGGAGTTTCTCCCATGGCTGGCTGAGACTACTTTTGGGCCTGTAGTTAGGCAGTACCTCATAATGGGGGAGCTGCGGTGAAGTAAAGCCACTCACCTCATGATAGCCAGGAAGTGAGAGAGTAGAAAAGACCAGGTTCCTACAACCTCCTTCAGACCATATGTCCTCAGTGACCTTTAACCTCCAAGTAGACCACACCCCTTGGTGTTTACACCACTTCCCAACAGCACCACATTGGAGAGCAAGCCTCTAACATGAGGGCTTTGGAGAGACATTTATCTAAACCACAGCAGTCAGTATTTCTGCCATAGTGTATTTTACACAACACACCATAACTTTATTTAAAAAGTATTAAATGAAGGCAGGTAGAAAGGAAAGCTTGCTGGATGTCACTTTGCCATCCAACGAGGGGTATGACTTCTTGTGTCATTTTAGGTTTAGGCTTTATTTATTTATTTATTTATTTATTTAATTTATTTGATTTCACTGATTTTCGTTGTCTCCAGTTGATTTCCATACCTCACTTGGACTCATGGACATGTTTTTGTACTCTGGAAGCATGTGACAGCAAAAAGAACCTCAGACGCCTTTAGAGCAGCAGTGCTCAACCTTCCTAATACTGTGACCCTTTAATATAGTTCCTCATGCTGTAAAGACCCCCAGCCTTAAAATTATTTTTATTGATATTGCATGAGTCATTGTGTTATTGTTATAAATTGTAATGAAAATATCTGATATTTCTGATGGTTTTAAGTGACCCCCTGTGAAAGGGTTGTTTGCCCCTCCAGAGGCGTCAGAGCCCAGAGGTTGAGACCCACTGCTCTAGATCCATGGTCAACCTCTGTGTTAGATTGTTACTCCAATGACGTGAGTGGGCAGAGAGTGGACCTTTCTACTTGTCCCCACCCCTAAGGAGTTCCTTCTACAAGAAGTCTGCTTGTGTTCCCTTACTTTCCCCCATTGATGTTAATAATTATCAATGTTGGATTAACTCTTTTGTACCTCTCATGTGAAACCAAAATTATATATATATATATATATATATATATATATATATTATTTTTTTATTTTTATTTGCTTCCAAACCCTGTCCTATACATAGACCTATGTCATTGTCCACCAGAGGCCTCCATTCACACAGCCCATGATGGGAAGCAAATGATCTTTACACTTGTTGACCTCCTGTGATGCTACAGGGCAAGCTGGCTTTGGTTAAATGTTTCCCAATAAGAAGCATCTTTGTAACAGAACACTTTAATCTAACAGTCAAAGTTCATTGCTCTGGAAGCATTGCAAGTCTAATTTAGTGCCCTGTCAAAGATAACATACAAAGTGTAATGCAGAAGAGCCTGAAGGTTAGCAAATATGAAAAATAAGAAAAAGTTGCAGAGCCTGACCCTTGCTTTGAAAAATTAATTTCCTCCCTATTATAGAATTGCCTCAGATCTTTGGTAGAAGACTTGAAGGAGATGGAAAACATAGAACAATACAAAATCACCCATGTTTCATCCATTCAGGAAAAACTATATATAATTGTGGATAATAACTAGAATTAGTTTTTTTCTCTATGGAAATAACACATAAATACATAATGATTCAAACTAAAATAGTGCAATGCCATCCCTATTTACTTACAAACTTAACTAAAAAAATCACTTATGTTTATTGTAACTTAGGTCCTTTAAAATATTTTTATGAATATATAATGTAATAAGCTGTAGCCATCCTAGCACTGGTGGGTATTTTGTTTGCTAATCTGCACTGTTTCCAATGGTAATATGATGGTGAGTCTTCTACACAGTCTTTGATTCATTCCTTGCTTTAGAGAGAAACATGCTTTGGAGTCTCTGTCTCTAATGCTATTTCAGAGCCAGTAAAAGAGCACTCATTGGATGCTCTTTAAATGGCTATGGTCAGGGTTGTTTTCATGATCTCCTCTTACAATTGAGTTTGAATATTTTTGAAGGAAGGAGCTGTGTTTGTCTAAAAATACACAGTGGTAGGAGTGAGACAGTTTTCTCATATGATTTCTGATTTTTAAAGGAAACCATGGAAACAATGGAAATAATGGTGCCACTGGCCATGAAGGGGCCAAAGGTGAGAAAGGAGACAAAGGAGACTTGGGGCCTCGAGGGGAGCGGGGACAGCATGGCCCCAAAGGAGAGAAAGGCTACCCAGGGGTGCCACCAGAACTGCAGGTAAGACACCCTCTACATATCTCCAGGTGACTTCTAACGCTGTCTGAACATTAGGGACCAAAAAGGTTCCAATGAACAAGTCTTCACTCATCTTGGGGACACCTCAGTTTCACGTTGTTCCTCTCCATGAAAGGATGTTTGCATCAGGTCTGTTCTCAAACACAGCTTTGAGAGCATTCTTAGGAAAGGGTATTTATTGAGTGTGAAATCCAACTCTCTCATAGGACTAGCCATAAATATGAACTCATATCCTATTTTCGTGATGAGACAATGGGTTAGATAAGAGGGTTTTAACCAAGTTGCACTGAAACATTTAAACATACATACATGAATGGCTAAACATCTACTTATATTTTATTTGCTAATTTGTGTTGCCTACTTTTTTAGTTTTAAAATTTTTTTGTGTTGCCTACTTTTAATTAATGCATGAAAAGACATTTCCCTAGGTTAACAAAATTAAGAAGTTGCTTAATTGTCAGTTTCTCTAATCATGTAATATACAAACATGCATTTAATATTACAGCCTGAGAACTTCATGCAAATTTTTACAGTTTTACTTGATAACAGAATTTTAATATTAAAAAACATATCTTTTAAGGACTAGGAGTTTTTAAACTATGTTCAGAACTGTTAATGCAGACTAATATCTATATGACATAAAACACATTAAATTATTGTAATTTATTTACTTATTTGTCTATTGTTTGGTATTTACATTCAAGCTTTCCATCACAAATAATGTTGCAATAAAATTACCTGTACGAGGACTTTTTTCTTTAAGACAAATTTGGACTGATCACCAGCTTTCTCCTTAGATTGCATTCATGGCTTCTCTAGCAACACACTTCAGCAATCAGAACAGTGGCATCATTTTCAGCAGTGTTGAGACCAACATTGGAAACTTCTTTGATGTCATGACTGGTAGATTTGGGGCTCCTGTATCAGGTGAGATGCAAATATCAATGAATGAAACCATTAAAAAGAGAAAGGAGGGAAAGAAGAAGAGGTGGGGTTTGTTTTGCAGGAGGAGTGTGGAAGTGTTTGGAACTTCAGATTAGAAAGGCCCTAGACTACTGTGAGCAGACCTTAGTGGAAGTTTCTGGTGGCAGTTTGGAAGGCCAGAGTGCCCACAGGAATGTAGACTGCACAGGGTGGGGGTGGGGCAGTTAAAGGGGTTCTTGATCCAATATGGCCACCAGTGGAAGGGTTTTCCCAGGGTCAGCCTCAAAGGCACATAAAGGCTTCTACAGCTGTGGTGCAAGGTGGGCCAGCCTATGTTTTGAGCTGGCAGTAGGAGTTGGCAGTATCATTCTTATGGTATTGATCTTGCAGACATTAATGATGTTAAGAGTCATTAGGACATAGAGTCTTTTGCAGTCTGGTACCAAGTGTCTAGAGGGCCTCTGAGCCATCCAATGTGTTCAGGGTCAGAGCCCCTACAAAGAGGACTTGAGAGGCTGCTTTGTGAAGGCATGAAGGTAAAGCTCAAGTTGCAATGGCTTTCCCAGAATGTTGGAGATGCTCAACTTTCAACAACAGTTGTGGTTTTCCGGCAAGGACCTGCAGTCTTAGAGTGGATCTGCCCAAAGAGAGAAGCTATCTATGCTACAGGTGGCTGGGCTGGAAAGGTGGGGCAGCTGAAGCCCTTCAGAGGCAGATAATTCTGCCACAGACCCCAGATCCCTGCCTGGGAGCTGTAGGGTTAGGGCTTGCCCTAGTAGGGTTTGGTTTTGCTCCCCTTACTGCCTTTTAGAATGGGAATATTTACTCTGTGTCATTATGTTGGAAGTATGCAACTCAGTTTTGACCTGTGTAGAGAGCCACAGTTAAGAGAATACTTTGATTCTAGAAAAGAATTCTTTGCATTTGTGATCACAGTTGGGGCTATTAAGAACACTGGAGACTTTAAAAGTCTTAGTAAATGCATTTTGTATTATAAGACAGCCATGAGGCCGTGGAGGCCTGAGACAGAATGTGGAGAGTGAACATGAAATGTCTCCTGGAAGGCCATGTTTGAACACTTGGTCCTCAGATGCTGGCACTGTTTGCAAGGTTGTGAAACCTTTAGGGAGTGGGGTGTGGGAAGGGGTGGCTGGAGGATGTAGGTCACTAAGGCCAGGCCTTGAGGCTTGAGTCTGAGCCCATGTCCTGTCTGTCCTCTGCTTTCTGATGGCACTGCATCATGTCATGCTGGCGATGTCACAACTTCTCTGCCATGATAGACTGCATTCCTCTTAACATGGAGGAATAATAATGAGTCAAAATTATCCTTTCTTCCCTTGCATTGCTTCTTTTCAGGTATTTGGTCACAACTATTGGGAAAATAATTAATATAACCATGATATCCCAATGTCCCAGCTTTTAGTTCCTTCTCTTGTCTGGCTATTTGAACCCAGGTTCTTGAATTCTTTTTTAGAAACGTGCCACTTGCTTTACTGGTACATATTTGGCAATATCATCCCTCATCTAGTATATAGAGACATGTCCTTTTCCCAATAGTCATCCATTGGATAATGTTTGATGTTCTTTCTACTTTTAAGAAGTAGCTGATGACTGAACTGGCTTCTCCTAGATCAGCTATTTGCAGGAGACTGTTAGCAAAGGACCCAGGCAACCTTGAACGTGTGGCATTTCAGTGCCTCTTTTTGCTGCCAGGGGACTGACTGATTTTGTTCTTTGTGTTTATTCTTCTCTCATACAATACATGACAACTGCAGCTTTTCTCCATCCACTCCTTGAAGTCCCCTGTCCCAGGCCCCTAGATCACCACTCCTCCATTTCCCTTCAGAAAAGAGCAGGCCTCCGGGGGATACCAACAGAACAAGGCATAACAAGATACTTATGCAGGGCTCTTCTGTGTATTTATCCTGTGTGGTCACAGTTCCTTTGCCTCCCCATACTTCCTGAGGAAGACTTTGGAGGCAGCCTTGAAGCTCCCTGGCTTTCAGCAGCCTGTTATTCCTGGCAAATCCTGATATTGGCCACTACAAAAAAGGCCACCTTGGCCTTCTAGGGGTTTTTTTTTCCTAGCAAACTGCTCCATTAGGCCTGATCCCAGGACTGTCTTTCAGCACTTGAGAATGGCCTTTCTCCATCAGGGAGTATGTTTTTCCTGGCATGGTTGAGATCTACTTTCCCCTGCTCCTAGAAGCCCTGTCCAGCTTCCTGCTGCTTTGGGCAGCACCTTGACATACTTGAGATGTATCGATTTTCTTCAGAGTCCTAGTTTTCCATAAATTTGACAGTTTTTCAATTTCTGGTATTGAGTTTTCTTTCTTTGTTACCCTCCATGGTATATACAGGGGAAAATATTCTAATGGATGCAGTGGCCATGTTAAACTTACACATAAGCTTCTAATGTGTGCTTTGGTTTATTTCACCCTGTTTAAATAAGAAATGGCCTAACGCATGCAACTGCAGGGACAATCTGTTTATCATGCTTCGGTCAGCGTCACTTTTGTGATTTTCTGCTCTGGGGGCTTTAAGTTTCCTGTAAAAATTTTTGCAGATTGTGATGTGTCACAGATGAGTGCCTAGCTATCTTGGGTCAATGGTCCCACTGAATTCAATGACTATATAATTAAATGACTTTTGAGCTCTTTTGGTGGGACACCATTCTGATAGTTAACTTATAATTCGTCTTACCTCCCATTTCCTTGCAGAGAGAGCCCATGTGCACATGGTACAGGTTCACTTCTGCAATTCTAATTCTAAGAGTTTCACTTTTTACCATCTTGTTTCTTGGTCTGCTCTTTCTAAAGTGTTTCTGACATCTATTTTTATTTATAGTGTCATTTTTAAAGGAAGACTAAGGTATTTTCCTGTCATTTTGATTATAAATTTACTTTCTGGAGGCATTGGAAATTGTTATGTTGTCTAAAATTAAATCCTATAAAATGTAAAACACTAGACCATGTACAAACTATTTCTTGCAGTCCTATAATTTTCATCTGTCTTTGCTTTTCCTCTATGAACCCATCTCTAGGTATTTGAATGGGTATCTCTGATTGCCATCAAATATGCCTGCCCAACACTTAACAAAGCATGATTGTTCTGTGGCTTGGCTCAGCATCAGAGGGAAACTTATAGCTGATATCTTCATAAAAAAGAAATATGAATGGTCCATTGTGTCTTCAGTTTTTTCTTGTAGATATTTCTGTTTTTTTTCTCTTGTATAGCTAGCAGTTCAAAAACCGTAATGTGGAAATCAGTAAGAATATTCTTTTAGTAACAAGGTGTTGTGGCAGTTAAAGTTGAATATTTTTATTAAAACTTCACTGATTTACAATGGGTCACATGAGAAATGACCCAAACTGTTTCTTTAGAACTATGAAACATTTACTTGTATGCTAATATTTCACCATCTTGGTTACATTTGGATAATGCAGTTGTCCATTTTAAGTTCACGTTTGCCTAATTTTAGTAATATTTTGTAATCTTACTATGTATAGACAGGAAATACACTGAGTTGAAAATAATCAAAGTGCTGGGTGGTGGCGCACGCCTTTAGTCCCAGCACTTGGGAGGCAGATGTCAGCCTGGTCTACAAAGCAAGTTCCAGGACAGCCAGGACTTTTACACAGAGAAACCCTGTCTTGAAAAACCAATAAAAAACAAATCAAAGCATTTTTAAGACAAGCAAATGAGAGAATATTCTTATGAACGGGCCATGAAACCACATAATACACAGAATACAAAAAGCCTTGTGTGAAATCACTTGACTCAATGTCTGTGTATGAGTGAATGAGGAAATCCTTGTCCTTTCCAGGTGTGTATTTCTTCACCTTCAGCATGATGAAGCATGAGGACGTAGAGGAGGTGTATGTGTACCTTATGCACAATGGCAACACAGTCTTCAGCATGTACAGGTGCGTTATGTCTTCTGTCACAGGTCTCCCAAGTGCTTTCTTCACTTGAACAGAGGAAGTCCAAGGACAGTGAAGAGTTTAGGGGTTAACAGAGCCTAACATAGCAGTTCTCCACGAGAATCCCGCTATGTGGTCAGGTTATCCCTCCTGTTTGAGAAGAACAGTAATGAACTTATCAAGTAGATAAGGGACTGTGGGCAAATGACTAGCAGCACTCCTCTTAGCCAGAATTCATATCTTTCTTTAACTTCTTAATTCCCTGTCTATTTGGTTTCTTCTGCTTTCCTACTCCCCCTTGCCTGAAGCCTGGCACTATTAGCAGTGTTGACAGCCTGCACTGGCTGACTGAGGAGGTTAGAGTAGGTCCTTTTCTTTACACTGTGCCTTACTTTGACACTTACCACCCTGGCCCCAGAGCTCCTTGAGGTGAATGTTTTAGAAAGTACTACATCATGCTCTGCTGTTAGGACAGACAGAGAACTAGCACCCTGTCTGGGAAAACCCTTTTTGCTCTGATTTTTCAAAACTCTGTGATTTTTATCACTTGTCATGGTTGCTGTGTTCTTCTAGAGTCTGACCTCAGTCAAAGCAGGTAACATTGTTGTCAGAGATTCAGAACCCAGTGGTTCAGACACACCAGAACCTTGAGCAATCCAGGGCAAGAGTTCCAGGATGGGGAAGTAGGGTGGCAGGTAGGGTAGAAGAGAGCATTGTAAAGTGGTGGAGGTGGGGCTGTTCTTCCTGCTTGGTTTTCATTTTTATTTTTCAGGGATGCTGTCTGATGAAGTGGCACAGACATCTATAAAGCTGACTCCTAAATTCTCACTGGTCATGGTCATTTCCAGAGTCAGAAGAAGCAAAGAACACACTGTGAACATTTTAATTTGGCATTTTATTCAATGAATCCCAGTCCTACCTAACAAACCTGAGGGCAGCAAGGAACTAGTACAGGAACTAGTACAAGGAACTAGGAGGGCATTCACTACTTTTCCCATCTCTGTGACCGACCGTCACTTGATTCATTGAGAGGACTCATCCCACCACAGCAGGGATGGCAGGAAAGAGTTCCATGTAGGAGCTGTTTGTGGCAGGGCTCCTCACACCTTAGTGGCCCAGGCACATGGAAAGCCAAGTAAGAGGATCTAGAGAGAACAGGCACTCAAGGGAACACTGTTACAACCTACAAGGATTCCACAACCTCCAAAAACATTCTACTACCTGGGGACCAACTGTTCAAACAAACGGGCTGGTGGGGACATTTTCTATCAAATCCATAACAAGGAGAGAATGAATTCTGGTGAACAGCCTGCCCTTTCCAGGCCCCTCATTTCCAAACGGCCAGCCAGCTCATCCTCCTTCCATAGAACACACTTCTTTGTCTTGGTCATCAAGGGAGAGAGACTAAACCAGTTCAAACCTAGAGCTCAGAGATGAAAGGTCCTTTCATAAGTCAGCTTCTGATTCTGTCCTTTGAAGGGTCTTCTTTGTCTACTTTTCTCCATGGTCATATCCAAAGGGTAAACAGTCTGTCTTAAGGCATTTTCATGTTCCACTTCCTGCTGGTGGAAATCTGAGAACTAAACCAAATATCTCAAGTCTTTCTAACCCAGTCTGGGTCTTTGGCAACAGTTTACTTAGAATATATAAGGTGTCTGCTCTGTTTGCTTGAAGTCAGTGACATATTAGTGAATCATATCCAGTACACTTTCTGGACAGTTAGCCTGTTACACTTCTGACTCTTGGTTGTTTTGTCCTTTTCTAAATGCAGTCATTATTACCAAGAGACATTTTACAATAGTACATTTTGGTTATAAAGGCAACATATTCTATCTATGAAATAAGTGGAGTGTGACTCTGAGTGAAAGTTCCAAATGGGAACTCATCAGCTCTGTCCTAGCTCTTCAGGTATAAAAATACCATTTATTTTTAATTATTATTAGTTTGTTTTTCAACCTTGTTAGAGTCTTGATTGTTTGGACTCTATTTATCTTTAAAGTATATCTGTTCTCCAAACTCATCTTTTTAAAGAAACATCTTGTAAAAGCTGCAAAGAGTATTTACCTCTTTTGAATCCTTGCTTAGGCGGTGAGTGTATATAGAGTTTATGTTACCATGATTTTTCCAAATCTTTCCAAGCATAACATGGTGTCTCAGTTACTGTTCTATTGCTGTGGAGAGACACCATGATCATGGCAACTTATAAAAAAAGCATTTAAGTGGGGGCTTTCTTATAGTTTCAGAGGCTAAGTCCTTGAATATCATGGTGGTGAGGATGGCAGCGGACATTGTGGTGCTGGAGCAGTAGCTGAGAGCTACCATCCTGATCCACATGTTGATAAGACAATGCCCCAATGACACACCTCTTCTAACAAAGCCACACCTTCCTAAACAGTACACCAACTGGGGACTAAGTATTTAAATACATGAATCTATAGGGGTCATTCTCATTCCAACACACACACATCAGTCTTTATCTTTTCAGCTCATAGTATATATTTCCACATTGCTCCTGCCTGGCTGTTAGCAAGCTTATTTTCATTTTGGTTGTTGACAGTACCTTCCTTGAATACCAAATTCCAGGTTGGTGAGAAGAAAATAAGCCCTTGTAAAAATAGAAAGGTTGAAAGATAGTAGAGCTTTCCTTCTTCCTTATAGAACAGTCTGGGGAAGTCTGGTAAGATAATCCTGGGTGTATGTTTCCTGTCTAAGTAGGGGTAAGAGAGCTCTCTTCTACATAGTAATGGTCAAGACCACAGATGTTACAAATGTCTTTCAAGGCCACTGTAGCAATTGTTGTTAATGTCCTAAGTAAGTTTAATTGGACAGTTCTAGAAGTGTCTCATGCTATTCCCACTTGCATGCCATTTAGAGAACTTAATACATGGCTATACCTAAGGCATAGGAGAAGGTAGGGACAGAATATGCTCAAGATCTAGGTTGGCACGGTAAAGACTAAGTAGTGTGTTCCTCTTTCTTCCAGCTATGAAACAAAGGGGAAATCAGATACATCCAGCAACCATGCAGTGCTCAAACTGGCCAAAGGGGATGAAGTCTGGCTTCGAATGGGCAATGGTGCCCTCCATGGGGACCACCAGCGCTTCTCCACCTTCGCAGGCTTCCTGCTCTTTGAAACTAAGTGACAGGAAGGATAGGATAACTCCACTTGAGGGGAAACTTGTAGCTGAGCTAGGAGTGTTATGAATGGAGTGATATTGAATTGGGGGTTCTATATGGAGCATTTAACTGTTGTATTGGTCACACTGCTACTAGTCCTACTGGTATACCAATAATGCTGGATGAATCAGAAAAACAGACCACAAGGTAACCTTCCGAGATGACCTTGGGAAATAGTCAGCATCTTCATCACTCTTCCCTACATGTCTGACTGAAGGAATTGTCACCTGATGCAGGTTGGAAATAAGTGTTCACCTCAAAAAAGCATATGCAAAGAGTTTTGGTGCTATTTTAGATGTAGTATCAACTTTGGAGTCAACCAAGTTCTAGTTCATTGTTCTTCACAATATTTTAGAGAACAACCTGATTATGACAGGGCTAGAGCAAGAATAAGGATACTTAGCAGAATTGATCTAGAGAAACACTTGTAAAGTCTAGACTGGGAAATAGCATTTGGTTTAGTGGAATTGTGTTCTTACATTCATGAATAAACTATAAGAAAGTTTTAGTCATTTCAGATAACTTTTAAAAATTAAAATATTTGCAATGCCCACAAATAATTGGCTCCTCATTAAAAACATAAACATGTAAATTAATACTGAGCTCTAATGGCTTAGATTTTTCAGATTTAAATTTCCTCAAAATTCAGAACTGGGTTTATCACATCTAGCTTACCAGATCTTCTCTTTGCCAATGCATCACTTGGACTGCAGTAGGCTCTCTTGATTCTGCACAACCACCTGAAGTAAGATTAAGCTGATATGGTACAGATGCTCTCACATTTTTTAAATTTGAGAACTATTCCAAAACGTTTATATTTTATATATACCATGTTATGGTGAAGGACTTGTGAACATAATTATATACAGGCAGACTAACAGATGCAAAGTATAAGTGTATTCCATTCAAGAGACACATAATAACACATCAAATATTTGCAATGAAAGTGATATTATTTTCTTTATTATCATACTTGACTAACATTCACAAAGAAGTTTTAATATGCCACAGTGTTATAGAAGGTGCTAGTTGGTTTTTGTCTAGCTTTCTCCACCCCAAAATTTATCAAAAAGGATTAAATTTGTCATCAAAACACCTTCAGAGAATGTGCCATAAGCTAGCACTGACAGAAAGTACCACATATACAGAAATATACATACATGTGTGTATATTATGTATTGTTGAGGCTCAAGCCCAGGCCTTGTACATGCTAGGTATGTGCTCTTCTACTGAGCTACATCTTCAGTACCCAATCTTGTTTCATTGAAGAATCACTGCAATGTGTTTACCCTAGTATTAAATCATATTTAAAATTCACCAGTGAGATTCTTACCTGAAAATATCATATAACCAATTCTCATTAAAGTAATGAGCCCTTAATTTATTTTCTACAGCAATTTAAACATACACATAGGCATTTAAACCACAGATTTCCTTCAAGTTATCACCCTATTTGCTAGAGGCAATGAAAGTCAAGGAGGGCTGTCCTATTGGCTAATTCATTGTCTTTCATGTTCAGTCCAACCTTTGACCCTTTACTTTTCACCCACAAACTTGTTTAAACTCTTCTTGACTCTGCATATAATACTCCTTTAAAGTGGATAGTTATTTGCCAGCATCAGAAGATATTTTTTTGATTTAGTGTGCACTTCAACGCCCAGAGCTATGGGGGTCACAAGGTTAAGGTTTATTGTGATCAAATGCCACAGACATTTCACAGAAGTATCAAAGATATTGAACTGTTACATAACGACCAAAGAAATTTCTTACTGAAGATTATCCACTACCTACTAAGTGTCTTGGAGGAAAATTCTGGCATAGCTTTAGATGAAACTGTAGCAAAAAATACATAAGCAATATGTGGAAATAAACATACTTTTTGGTGGCCCCTTTGTTTTTTTAATTGTTGTTAAGTACAATTGTCATACAATTGCAAATCATGTGGTTGATGTAAAGTAAAATATTTTCCTGGCACTGTTAACAGCCATACAACTCAGAGATGTTCAAACAGCAAAGGTCACCTGCCTCCACAAGACTCCACTTCCAGTTGCTCCATGGCTTCAATCCTTTAAAACATCAGTGGTTAGTAGTTCCCTTTTAAGAGCTGCGTCTCTCTGAGCGGATGGGTCTTCATCACACACCTGCAATCTTTTTATGCTCACGCCAACATTCTAATTTTCATTCTAACTAAGTTGCACATAGATTTGGTTGTGGGAGGATGAAATTACCTCTTTTGCAAAAGAGTACCAGTGGGTGAAGGAAGGTGATTCATGAGACAGCTGGAAGATCTAAATCATTATCGATGGTTCTATAGTGCTTTTACTCATGGCCCAACTCACCACTTCTCTGAGGTGACTACTGCAGTTTCAAATACATGCAGTTATCTGTGGTCTGAAGATACTAAATAGAAAACCCTAGACATTCTTAAGATTTGAATTGTATGCCATTCTGAGTAGACTCATGTGATCTGGTGCTCTGTTACTCCTTCACAAGACATGAACCTTTGCTCTGCTACCAGCCTGTTAGTCAATTAGTGTCTGTCTTGGTTATCATCTCACATTGCAGCACTACACCTATTTTGCTCAACAATGGCAACAAACACAAAGCAGTGATATTGACAATTTGGACATGCCAAAGAGAGGCCATGAAGTAACTCCTTCAAGTGAAAAGGTGAAAGCTCTGTGTTTAAAAAGGAATGAGAAAACAAAATCATATACTGAGGCTGTTAACACTACAGTAACATCTATCTGTGGGACTGTAAAGGAGGAAAATGTTGGTGCCAGTTTGGCTGTTCTACTTCAAACTGTTTAAGTTAAAGCAGCAACCCATGATAAGTGAATGAGTACAATGGACATTCATTTTTGCATGTATTTATATGAAAAATTATAGATACACACACTACTTACTAAGTGTTTGGAGGAAGGAGATTATCTACTAACCTAGTAAGTGTTTTGGTAGAAAAATCTGACCTATCCTTAGGTAAAACTGCAGCAAGAAACACTTCATAAGCATATAATGGAAATAAGCACACACATATACACACTCTTCTAGGATTTGATCTAATGTATTAAGAACATTCTCCAGTGCTGTTTGGATCATTTGAAATAGTAAAAAAAAGGGGGGAGTGCATCATGGAAAATAGTTGAAGTTTAAATAAAAAAGCCATCCTGGATCGTGTAAGTCCATAATGCCAGTATGTTGTGAGTCTGAGGTATGACAGCTGCTAGTTACACACTGCCTGGGCAACTTAGCAAAATCCTGAATCAATCTAGAAAGTAAACATGGCTGGAGATAGATCCTAGGTGGTAAAGTAAGGCTTTTCCAGCATATACAAGGCACCAGGTTCAATCCCATTACCCCAAAAAGGAGGGAAGGAAAGTCAAACCAAAATAAATGTATATTCTAATGAGAAGGTAAATCCCAAAGGACATAGCTAGAGTTGGTAAATATCTACCCACTGCAAAATACAGCATTACTCAACCATTCCATTTTCTGCCTTCTTTGAGTTTTCAATGGAGGATAGTAGGTTAAAAGTGTGAGCATAGTGTGAAGCAGATTTCAACAGCCACAGATTGCAAAGGGCCAGATACTTTTCTGTATATATTTATAGCTCTATTATTGCCTTGTGGCTTGAGGTACTAAAGCATGAACACTCTATGGCTAGACTTACAACTTTATTTTCAAACATAGTAATAAAACACACCATTTGACACGTTTCCATATATTTTCCAATCTTGACACAACAGAGAACTCCCAGTCACTACTTACAATCACAGACGCCTCTGCCCGGAAGTATCTTAAAACTCACGGCTACAGCTACGTAGCATTTCACCTTTGCTTTTCTTATCTGCCTCACTTGTTAAGAATTGGTGCCAGAGTTTTCTAGAATCTATGTCTAGCTCTGTTCGGTTTCCTAAAGCTTTCAAAAACTGCATTTGGCACCTAAACAGGTGAGAAAATGACTCGTAAACGCGGGGGGGAGGTATTTGACTGTTTTACACTTTTTTAAAGGGTTGAAAATGAGTTTCTAAGTCAAAATTGTAGTCTTCCATAAAACTGACAGCTGACAAACCAAAACTATTTTTAAATTTCTCTCATTCATCGCCGGATGAACAATACTTCGATAGCCCAGACTTCCCCTAAATGCTGGGATTACAGGAGTCCACACCAGGGGCACTTTGAGTGGTGCTGGCCTTCACTCTTGCTAGGCAGGCACTGGAAGGGCACTTAAGTTTTCAGGACGGCGAGGGGGACACCCTGTGGCCTACAGAAGGAAATGTCCTTGCCTCCTTACGTTGTTTTAAATAGTGCTTAAAGTACCTTGAAGTCACTCACTGAGGGATGGGAGCAGGGATTCGGGTAGCACAATGAAAGCTTCCGGAGAGGACTCTCACAGGCCGGAGTTGTCAAGGTCAAGGACTTAAACTTTAACTTAGAGAAGAACAGAGTAGAGCTGCTAATTAGACTTGAGCCTGGGACTACCGATGGAAGGCGGGAATTGCGCAGGCGCGCGCAGCCTCCCGGGCGCCCCCGCGCAGGCGCGTGAGAGAGGCGGGGTGCAGTGTGAGATGGACTATGATACAAGGGCGAGCGGGGTGCCGGGCCGATCGGCTTTCGTCCCAGGACGGTCATGGTGTTGCGTGGCATCAGGGTGGTGGAGCTGGCGGGCCTGGCCCCGGGGCCGTTCTGCGGGATGGTCCTGGCGGACTTCGGAGCTCAGGTGGTGCGTGTGGACCGGCCGGGCTCCAGGGGCGACGTGAGCCTTCTGGCCCGGGGCAAGCGCTCGCTCGTGCTGGACCTGAAGCGGCCGCGCGGAGCCGCGGTGCTGCGGCGCATTTGCGCACGTGTGGACGTGCTGCTGGAGCCCTTCCGCTGCGGTGAGCCGCGCCGCGCGATCGCCCGCCCCTCCTGGCGCCTTACGCCAAGCTTCCCTGTTCCTTAAGTTTTTAATTTGTTGCCCCCCGCCCCAGCACTCTTCTCATTTGCCTTTATTATTTGGGGGTATTGAACCGTATGAGAATCTAGTGCAAGAGATAGATTGGAAAACTTCACACTGGAATGTAGCCACTGACCCTTCATTATGTTGGTATGTATGCCTATGCTCTAAAGCTATCCACAGACCGTGCTAACTGTTCCCTAAATGATGGTATTCCTGAACTCCAGCTTCACGAGCAAAGACACTGTTTTCATGCTCTATTAGTAGACACGGCTTTTGAGCCGTGTCTTGCATGCTTGGTGACCTACACCTCCATCTGGCTGTCCGTAGGCATTTGCAACTATCACAAACCCTGAATCAAGTCTTTCTCCATCCATTTAAAAGTGCTCCATCCATTTAAAAATGCCCAGAGCATCCCATGGGTCTGTGTTTTCATCAATCACTGATTTAGCCACTCTTGTTCCTTACTGGCATTGCCTGGTAGATACCAGGAAGTTTGCCAATGAATGGAATGGGGCACCAGGCATATTTATATGTAACTTTTGGTCCTCACAGGCATATCTGTGGACAGTAATGGTAACATTTAGGATTATGTCATAATGCTAAAATGCCCTGTTTTAAGATGAGGGTGGTTCAATGTGGTTAAGTAGTTTCTCCAAATGACTCTTATTTATGGCAACTTTCAGCAAAATCACAACAAATAGTATTACTTGCAAGAATGCACTTTTAGTTTTACCAGTAGAAGGAATTACCCCCATCTTCAACTTGTGCTCTCTTTAAAAACAAACAAACAAACAAAACACCAAGCAATTGATGACTTTTCTCTAAAGGCGTCATGGAAAAACTCCAGCTTGGGCCAGAAACTCTACTGAAGGACAATCCAAAGCTCATCTATGCCAGACTGAGTGGATTCGGCCAATCGGGAAGTTTCTCCAAGGCAGCTGGCCATGACATCAACTATGTGGCTTTGTCGGGTATGTTGGAAATGCTTTTCTACAACACTTTGAATTGGTTCCAACATCAGGAAGTACGGTTAGGTTGATTGACAAGGGTTTAAGAAATATTTATTGTTTTTCATTATGTGTATGTGTGTGGGTATATGAATGTGAGCACCCATGCCTCTAGAGGCCAGAAGAGGGTCCTGTGGATCACTGGGAAGGAAGGAGAGTCATAGGTATTTTTTGTGAACCTTTCCATGTGAGTGCTGGGAACTGAACTCGGGTCCCCTGCAGGAGCAGTCCACACTGTCAATGACTGAGCCTTCTCTCTCTGCCCCCCCCCAGCCCTGATTAACAATAAGTTTAAAATGTAAAGATGTAAATATTTATTGGAACTGGCAAAGAGAACAGGGTTGATGAAAGTAGGTTGATTTGAATTCCTAGAACTGCCATTGTTAAGCTCTACCTGCTCCCCCACCCCCACCCAGACTCGTTTGATGGGTAGTAATCACTAGTACAATTGGGAGGTGAGTGTTCAGGAAGGCCCCTACTAGGAGTGAGGAACAAGGTAATAAGATGGATAATCACTCCACATGTTGGGGAAGTTGATTTGGTTTGGTCCTGATGTTCCCTCACCAAAAATCATTTTGAGCCATCATCTCAGACTTCTGTGAACACTGTAAAAGCCCACAGTTTTCAGGCCTTGCTATCACTCTGTTGGAATCTGTGCCTTCGAGAACATGTTTTAGAATGGCCTGACTGTATTGTGCCTAAAAACTGTGTGTTAGTGATGAAAAGAAATCTACTCTCCGTGAAAAAGTATTCAAAGGTTGAAGGTGGAAGTGAGTATAAAATTGGCTTTTCACATCTTTTCAAAACTTACTTTCTGTTCTTTTTGTGTGTGATTATTTTCCTACATCTATTTTTAATAAAAAATGAAAGTGTGTTATACTGCCTTAAAGCCAGGAAACAATTTGACAATAATTATTTTGTTTTCTCTAAGACTTAGTAAAGTGAAAACTTTTATAACATACTTAAAATGTTAGTTGGGATGATTTTTTTTTAAATCTTTACTTATTTATTTATTTTTTCAGGGAGAGTTCACAGTATAGCCCAGGGCTAGAAATCTAGACCTGGAGTGCTGGGATGACAGGTGTATGCCACCCCACCTGGCTTTGGGGAAATTTAAACCAAATGGAGCCTATCTTGAGGGAGAGCTTGTTTGTAAGTAGACTAAATGGGTTCAGAGTTTGAGGAGCACCGTGTGCCATTTTCAGTTAGGTCAGTGACTATAAAGACTGGCTGTCCCTCTAAGGTGCTCATGTGTTTATTTAAAAGGGGCATTCAATTTGTTGTTCATGGTGCAGGTGTTCTGTCAAAGATTGGCAAAAGTGGTGATAACCCATACCCACCTTTGAATCTCCTGGCTGACTTTGCTGGTGGTGGCCTGATGTGCACACTAGGCATTGTGCTTGCTCTCTTTGAACGCACACGTTCTGGCCAAGGTCAGGTCATTGATGCGAACATGGTGAGTATTAATTGGGTGGTAGGGTGGGGATGGTAGGGCTGCCATATGATGTGTGATTGCCTCAAAGCTTTCCGAATAAGACAAGAAATACATAAGGTTTACTATTTGAATTCAAGTCATCATAAAGTTATGTTTTGTTTTTTGAGACAGGGTCTCTTTATGTAGCCCTGGCTGTCCTGAAACTCATAGAGATCCACCTACCTCTGCCTCCTTTATGTAGGAATTAAAGATGTGTGCCACCATGCCTGACTAGATCTTTTTCTTTAAAATAGCCTTACCCTTTTGTATGCATTAGAATGCCATATTGAGGCCGCCTATGGAGTCAGTGCTTTAAACCTTATTCATTCATTTACTTATTTTGTTTGAGTGTGTAAGAGTGCATCTGGAGGTCAGAAGACAACATGTGAGAGTCAGTACCCTCCTTCAGGAAGCTGTGGGGATTGAACTCAGGTTGTCAGACATATGCCATGTCTATCTCCCGGTATGCTCTAAACTTTTAAAAAGTCACCTGATTTCTGTGTTGTATTTCAACATTTTCCTCCAAATTGTCTTCTGTGATAAAAATAGAGTTGCCAAGTAATCAGCCTTCAAAACTGAGCTTCAGAAGTGGTCCCCAGCCAGCGGAGCTGGTCCTTAGAGATGCTAACAATGGTGGGCCTTCCTGTCCACACCTGCTGCTGCATTTCCTAGGAGATGCTTCAGTTTCATGTTTCTCTGTGTTCACTGTGGTACATGAGCACACACCTCCTCCTTCGGGGCCCTTTCTCTGGGATTTCTATCTTCAGTCTAGACTAGTGCATTATTTCCCGTCTTCTGCTGGGGTGTATTTCAAGATTCCCATTGGGTATGTGAAACTGAAGGTATTCTAAACTTTATATTGCTATATTTTCCCTAGATAAACCCACATATAAATTAGACACAGTAAGAGATTAACACAGTACTAAAAATAGAATGGTAATAAAGCTGGGCGTTGGTGGCACACACCTTTAATCCCAGCTCTTGAGAGGCAGAGACAGGAGTATCTCTGAGTTCGAGGCCAGCCTGGTCTACCAAGCGAGTTCCAGGACAGCCTCCAAAGCAAGACAAACCCTGTCTTGAAAAAAACCAAAACCAAATCCAAAACCAAAAAAAAAAAAAAAGCTTACTTGTGCATTTCTCTAGTTAGTATTTTCAGACCATGGTTAATTTAAATGGTGGCTATTGAAAGTAAAAGTCCATATAAGGGGGAGACTTGTACCTTGTCATGATGCCTGGGCTCTAATCTGAGATCTGACAGCTCTTCAGTAAGAGTTCGGGACTGAGAGATCTTTGGAGGTCAAATAGAGAATGGATTGGACAGAGACAAGATTGGAAGTAGAGAGACCAGTTAACTAGGGTTTGCAGAGCAAATAAGAGCACATACTATAGCAACTAAAGTTAGACTAGGACTGGATTAAAGGAATACTAAATGTAAGTTTGTGTGGGTGTTGTTGATGACTTGGCAAGTGCAAGGAAGAAAGAACTGATGACGGAGCCAGATTTTGGCTTGTGTGACCTAGAGGATAGTGTCCCTGGCTCCCAGTGGAAGACTGATAATGGAGCAGACAGCAGGATGCAGTGGAGCATGCGTTGACAGCTCATTTCTTTCCTCTTAGCTCTGCAGTTTCCTAGCTCTGTCATCTTGGAGGGTCACTTTACAACTGTGTCAAAGTTGTAAAATGAATAAAACATCAACTTGTCAGAATCGTTAGGGAGTTAGTTCATCATTGTGTGGTGTGTCAACAGTGCCCTGACTTGACTCTCTAAGGCTTTGTGATAATGTCTTTCTTTCTAGAGGAAAATGAATTTAGTTTTGTTCAAGTTTAAGTAGCTCTTCAGTATCCAGGGAGAATACTTAAGTAGGGACCAGTAACAGATTTTACACTCACTTAGGAATAAACTGGGAGCCAGGTGAGATTCTGTGGTCCCCTGGGAAGGACACAGAATGCTAATGTGTACGGAGTAGGTAGGCAGAAGGGGAGAGGCAAGGATGCAAGAAAAAAAGGGAATGTTATCATGGAAACCAAAGTTGAAAAGTATGAAGAGAAGACTATTGGCCAGAGGGTCAGAAGCCTGTGGGCACCCCCCACCTCTGGTTTTAAAGATTGAAAAATGTAAATTGAATTGGGTCACTGGGTGACCTTTATAGAGTCTATCTCCCACTGCACCTCCTCATGTGAAGCCTTGCTTGGCTGCTTCCTTCTCCCCTCAGGTGAGTTATGGCCAGCCCTATGCTATGCCTGTTTCTTGTGATTCTGTCATGAGGCACGACTCACCTTGTCCTTTTGGTCCCTCTGTTACATGTTTTGTGCTATGTGGGCTTAACTGTTTAACCCTGGCTCCTGACCTAGTCATTGCACAGCCTCAGTATGAGGTAGCAAAAGCAGCAAAAAGTTCACATTGTAACACCAAGTTCTGGGGCTCCCATGTGGTTACCTTTCTGTGAGCCACAGAGTCCAAGGGAGATAGATAGGCTTATTCCCATTGGCTGTTGAAAATTTGAAGGCTCCAGAGATTTTTTTTTTTAAGGAGGTGGCTAGGAAGATCCAGAAGCAGAGCCATACACAATTTAACCCCAAGCCAGGCTTTTGAATAGCTTTCCTCTAATGCCACCCAAGAGGAATGGGCTAAGAACAAACATGTGGCCTTGGGAGTTGTAAGGAGTCATAGTTTGCTATGTGTAATTGATTGTTGATAGTTGAATGTAAATGGAAGATGGTTTCACTTTTCATCAGAATGTAGCTAGTATCTAATTACATTTACCTAGTTATTAGACAGTGGTGAGGTCTGAGTGTATGTGGAAGTATAAACTTTTCTTGGGGTTCATACTTATATTAGGGGCTCATTGGTGTTGATTAATGACTCAAGTCAGTGGGTTCGGTAAACCTCATTTATCACATCCTCAACCCATAAGCCCTTGTAGACAGTGACTTAGGGGAGACAGATGTCTTTTCCGAACAGGCCAGTAGCTTCTTGCTATTTAGCAGCAGAATCCTCAGTCCTGTCAGGCTTCAAATGAGATGGAGTCTGTGTTCTCACAGCCCTGTTCCCTAGAAACTGTGAGGTTAACTGCTGAAAAGGTCCATTTTGTTGTATCTACTCACTGTAGGGAGTGCACCTGACCTTGGCATTATGAGTAGCATGTAGACTGTTGGCCCTCATGGTGACAGTGGTGGGAAGGTTGGGGCTGCCCTTTTTCTGTGCCATAGGCTCTTGACTGGGCAGCTTGGATTGTGTGTGAGAAAGAGAATAAGAGAGGTGTGTGCTGGGGTAGTCACTGCTCAGCCCCAAGATGAGATGAGGATTGCTAGCACTGGGTCCCTTCCTGCGGCACTCACCTGTCTCATTTATGATAAAGCACAGCGAAAAGACTTCATTACAAGGTTGGTTCAGTCTAGAATCTGAAAACTTTTCACACATTTGACCTGAATTCGAAAGTCAGATAATCAGTGTTCTGAGCTTCCCACGAGAACTACTAGTGGCACCGCACACGCACAGTAACTCAGTTTGCTTATTATTTGCCCAATTAACTGTCCGTCAGGTGTGAGGCCTGAGGAGAAAGCAGGCCCTTTTTGTAGTGGCCACTAACTTGTTGGATTTTGAATGAGCAAGCCCAAATTAAGATCTGACTGGAACAATAGTTTTCCTTCAGAGTATTTTAATAACAAGTTCAAATTTATGCAAATGGAGAGGGAAAAACTTTAGTAATGAATGTGACTGAATCTATGATTTGTTGGGATTCAAACACTAAAAGGTAAACATAAGGTTTACTTAAAACAGTGACATATTTATGTGCTTATGTATATCTATGTGTGAATCATTATATGTCATTATGCAAATATGAGAATGTTAACCTGATCCCCCAAACAAAAGCATCGCCTGCAGCTAGGCAGTTACATGAGCATAGGTAGTCCCCATCAATTAGCTATAGTATGACTGTATTTGCCCATGACAGATGTCATCACCATAACTTCAGGTGTTTCTGAGATTTTAAGCTGAAAGGGAAAATTGGGCTGTCTCCAAAAAATATTTTACATTTGCTTCCCAGCCTGCAGATGAGGAATTCCATGCTCACTATTGGAAAGGAAACCTCTGTGGGTAACATCAGGGTTAGGTTCTTCCTGGACACTGGAATCATTAGAACTATAAAGCTTTTAGACTGTAGAGCCAGATAGCACAGCTACTCAGGAAGCTGAGGCATGATAGCCCGAGCAACTTAGTGAGATCTTGTCCAATGTTAAAAGTAAAAAAAGAGCCGAGGGCATGGCTTAGGGTGGAGTAATTGCTGAGCATGCGCAAGGCCCTGGGTCTACTCCAGAACTGCTCCGCAAGCCCCAACGACAGCAATGAAGAAACAAAATCTTCAGGGATGGGAAGGTTACTATGTATGGTGCCTCTGGGCTTCAACTTTGAGCACTGTGATAATGACACCTGGGTACTGGAATCCCCTTTGATTACTTAGGGAGCTGATGGGAGGGTGGTAGTCTCAAACAGATTTGTTTGGACTTAGGAAACTTGAATGTTTGCCACCCATGTGGTTATGTTTATTTTGTAACCTACCAGTGATCATTAAAGGTCATAGGATTGGAGTGAAGTTGGAATAAGCTAGGTTTATGGTTTCCCTTTACAGTGTGGCATGCTTTGTGTGTTTGTGTATATGTGCTTACAGTGTGTGTGTGTGTGTGTGTGTGTGTGTGTGCGCGTGCGCGTGCGTGCGCATGTGTGTGCCATGTGCATGTTCACAGGCAATGAAATGGAATGTGTAGATACTCAAAGTCAGTTTTTAACTTATGTGTGTCAGTTGGTAAAGTCCCTGGTGCCCAGGCATAAGGACTGGAGTTCAGACTGCCAGCACCCATGTGAAAATCCACAGCATTGGCTTTGATCTCAGCCCTGGGGAGGCAGAGGAAACCTTGGGGTTTCCTGGCTAGCCAATCTAGATTGGTGATTTCCAGGTTCAGTTGGAGATGGTCAGCAAGCAATGGAGAAAGACATTGACCTCTGACTTCTGTGCATTCACACACAAACAAAAGTAGAGAGAATAGTTCAGTGAGTGTCCATGCCCTGTTACCTGACTTCAAAAATCATCAACACTTTGGCAGTATTTGAAAGGAAGACAAATGTAGGTCCTTTAAGTCATAGAGTATTTTCCAAATGAAAAGGGTACCAGTGGCAGTCTCCCATAAAGCCTCTCTCCCTCAGTTTGCAGAAATAACATAGAAATTGTATAGTTAGGTATAATTGTCATGCCCTGTAAAACAGGCAGTTACATAAATATTCAACACCCTAAATAACCCTTCTTTTGTGCTTCCTTAAGCCCAGCATCCATAAAGTCTCTTGCTTCTTCACAGGTGGAAGGAACGGCATACTTGAGTTCTTTCCTGTGGAAGACTCAGCACATGGGGCTGTGGGAACAGCCTCGAGGACAAAACCTGTTAGATGGCGGGTCACCTTTCTATACAACCTACAAGACTGCAGATGGAGAGTTCATGGCTGTTGGCGCAATAGAACCCCAGTTCTACAAGCTGCTGGTCAAAGGTAAGTAACCAGCTCTGAGTGTCTTGTTCCTTCTTTACTGTGAACTCTTTAATCTCAACTTTGAGACCTTTTGAATTCCACGATATCTTTTTTTTTTTTAGTTCAGCTTTCTAGTTAGTGTAACTGTAGCCATCAACATCGTGGGGCATTTTCTGTCTTTTAAATTGACAGATAATTTTACTGTTTTATAAAGTAACTCAGGACTTACAAAACAGTAAGCCGGGCATTTGTGGCGCACACCTTTAATCCCAGCACTCGGGGAGGCAGAGGCAGGCGATCTCTGTGAGTTTGAGGCCAGCCTGGTCTCCAGAGCGAGTGTCAGGATAGGCTCCAAAAAGCTACACAGAGAAACCCTGTCTCGAACAACCAAAAAAAACAAAAAAACAAAAAAACCAAAAAACCAAAAACAAAAACATTAACAATAGGTTTAGTGGGAAAGCTGGTACTTCAGTTGCTCGTGACACTGGATGGATGTGGATGTTTCTTCTACCCCATGGACCCAAACATTCCTTTTTCTTCCTAAAAGAGGTATGGTGATTCTCTTGGCCACTGTTCCTTGATGAACATCTCTATAGTACTAAGGTATAGTAAAGTCACCTGACCACAGTTCAGCTAGACAATGTCATTGTCACTTGATACCTTGGAAGTGACAAGGAAGTTAATAAAGGAAGTTTACCTTTATTGAGACTTTTGTCTGCATGGCATGCCAACACTAGTTAGAGGGAATTTGGGATTGCTTTTTCCCTTGTGAAATAATTGGACTGGAGTTATTCTGTTATGTGAAATGTTGCAGTTTAAAGTCCGAACCACGGATAATTAAATGGTTTTAGATAGACTCTGAAGTAAAGCTGGCCATGGTGCCTATTATCCCAGGAACTCGGGAAGTAGAGACAGACAGTGGGATCTTCATGTGAAGGCAAAAAATACTCCAGGCTAGAGTTGACTCCATAGGTAAATGCGTGTGGAGGCTAGTGGTTGATATTCAGCATCTTCTTCATTTGCTGTCCACTTCATTTTGTAGGGTTTTTTTCTTACTTATAAGTTATTTTACTATTTAAAATTTTTTCTACAGTACGTTTGTTTTTGATCACATTCTTTTCCCTCTCTTAAGTCCTCCCTGTTTCTTCCTACCCTTCCCACTAACTTTATGTTCTTTTTGTTTTAAAAACAAGCAAACCACAACTAACAAAACCTAACACACACACACACACACACACACACTTGTTTTCTGTTGTACAACTACCCTTCTGGACATGAAACCTGCCCTGTAGTGTGCTTGATATACCCAGTGTTACCCCATTAGAGAAATCTGATTTTCCATCTCCAAGCAGGTATCAATCATAAATTTGCCTTCTTGGTTAAAGGTGGGATTTGTGTTTACTTCCCCTTCTCAGTGCTGGGATTTTGTCTGGCTCTAATTTGTGCAGGTCTTGTGCATGCTGTCACAGTCTCTGTGAGTTCACATGTGCATTACCCCAGTTATTTGGGAAAGATGCTGTTTCCCTGGAGACATCTTGCTGAGACAGGGCCTCTCTCATTGTTTAATGCTGCATATGCCAGGCTGGCTGGCCCATGAGCTTCTAGGGAGTCTCTGGCCTCTGCCTCCCATCTCATTGTAGGAGCTCTTAGATTAGACACACATCACTACCCTCAGCTTTATATGGGCTCCAGGGATTTGAAATCAGGCCTTCCTGCTTCTGTGGCAACACTTCACCACTGAGCCATCTCTCCAACCCATAGCTGAGATTTTGAGTGGGGTTCTGTTGAGTGTGTGCCCTGATCTGGGGGATGTTGCCATCTTAGCCATATTAAGCTTCCCAGTCTACATGGCTACTTGCCTTGCTTTATGTCTGTGATCCCGGTGATGCTCTGTAGTTTGAATTCCTCCTTTGACGAGTTTGTTTCTTACACATATGGATTAAGGTTTTTCTTCACATTTTGTAACTTTTTAGATATTTATTAAATAACTTTTTCTGATCTTTCTTGCCTGTATTTTTATGATGCTGTTAATGCATTTGTAAATATATTTGATGGCGTCTTAGAATTCTGTGAGGCACTGTTAATTTCTCCTTATTAATGTGGCATTCTGTTCCTCAGAGTAGATAACTGAGTTCTCTGAAGATTTGTTTGTTTATAATGATTTTCATCATCTAAATCTGTGTTCCTTGGTATTCGTAACCACTGACGTCTGTCCATTTTGCTTAGTGTTCAGCTGGGCAGACACATTCTGTAATGTCTTGATCCAGTGAATCTTCCATCCTTTTGCGAGACATTTTATGCCTCCTCACTTGTGCCTCTGAGATAAGCAATCCAGGCCTCTTATAGATGTCTTTTACTCCTGAAAGTGTGCATGTATACACTATACAGCCTTCAAAAGCCTCTAGGAAATCCAAAAGTTTTCTCATTAAAAACTTTTCATCATTGTACTCTTAACCATTCATATTATAGAATCCCCTTTCATGAGAGAAGAAAAGTGAGATTTATACCAATCCCCTGTAAAGTGGCCCTTTGCTACACAGATGCCCTTCCACTAGGGACAGCATTATATCCAAATAAACTCACAAGCAGTTGAAAATGAGTATTTTCTTTCTTATTTTTTGGGGTGGTGGTGGTGGTGGTTCAAGGCAGGGTTTCTCTGTGGCTTTGGAGATTGTCCTGGAACTAGCTCTTGTAG